CCCAATATAATCCCCATATATATATATACCCCATAATAATAGCAGTTTCCATTTCATTTTCCATTTTCTTTTCCATTTGATTCTCCATTATAGTAGGAACCCCCAAAAAGGTACCCCTATTTTCAGAAACCCCCACCTGGTGAGCGGGATGCATTTCGGCTTCCCTGTGCTGCCGGAGGTTCGCAGCAGGAGTACGGTGTCCTGACCGAGGCCGGGCCAGTGACGACCATCCCGAAGCTAGCACATTAAGTCCCAGACCCCTGGGAGGATCTAGAAAGTAGAACCCCCAATTTGGTACCCTATACTACTTTAGGGTATTTCCTAGGAACCCTTAAGGGGGTTCTACTTTCTAGATCCTCCCAGGGGTCTGGGGTTACGTCAGCTCCAATGGCTAAACTACTGCATGAGCAAAACCATCCACAAACCTCTGGAAGAGCCATTGCCGACTCGTGAATGAGCACCACATCGTCCTGAGGCCATCAGCAAGCAGAGACCTGCTGGCGTGCAGTCTTGGCACCCAGCCTTACTTGATTTTAGTAGGGGATAATCCCTATATAGTCTCCATATAATACCGCATACTCCCATGTTTAATATTCCCTGCTAAGAATCAGTGGGCATCTGTGTCCTTGTTTCCAAGAAGACGCAATGCGACTGTGTCGCAGAAAGGGTCCGCGGCGAGATGCAACGAAAGCTTCCAAGTGGGAACACCTATCCGCAAAAGTGTCTATAGTCTACCATTATAGGGGAATATATACGGACTGTATAGGGCACAGCTGTTTACTGGTTCTTAGTAGGGAATAAGGAGATAGAGTATACAGGGATAATGCTCCCTTATTCCCTACTAAGAACCAGCAAATAGAGTCCAGTAAAGGTGACCGAATGAAAGCTGGAATGGAACCAAAGCGCCTCGAGTTTCTGCCACTGCAGAGAAGGTTGCAACCTCGATTACGTGCCAAATTGCTGTGCGCTAGCTGCAGAATCACAAGCATCAAACGCCTTCACATGTCCGGTGACAACTGCAAAGCACCAACCTGCAACTTGCACGCTTCAGGCTTGAGGGGTGCACGGCATCGCGGCTCTGCACGTCGATTAGAGTCGTTGAAGCCATTTCTGGAAAGATTGCCACTTCTACCTGTCAAATGCAATGATTTGTGCCTTCACAAGTTACCTTGAAAGCTCAGGGATAGCTTAGGCAATGGCAAGCTCGAAAGCGTCGCTAAGCTCTTCGTCTGACAGAAACTGCGCGTGGATATTCAGCGGCATGGCAACGCAGCGCCTCAGGCGCAGAAAGCACAAGCTGAATCAACTTCGTATTATGCGTGCAGCTCTGCTTGCATTGTGTCCCACTGTAGACAGGAAGGTTGAATTGCTAAAAAAAGAGGCTGCCGAGAGCAATGCGGAAACCACTTGACATCAATCCAAGCTGCGATCCACGCTTGGTCAAACCCAAGAGGGCAACCAAATAGTGCACTGGTGCGCTCAGCGGGAAACACAGGCCGACGCGAAGGAGTCCAGCTTTCCTAAACATTCGTTGGCAATTCGTGGCAACGTGCCTTTCAACGCGCTGAGGCCGCAACAGCATCGCACTCTGACGTGCTCTGACAGATATATAGGTCTAATATGTTGCAGAAAACAGTTTCCTGCAAAGGAACTGCCATCTACATACCGTCGAACACCCCTACGGCGACACGGTAAGGCTTCGTGCATATCCAAGCTGCTCTATCTGTGCAGTTGACTCGGCAAGATCTCGGGCAAAGCAATCCTCAGTGACGGCACATCTGCCCTCTTGCCAGGAGATGCTGCGGGCCATCATTGCAGCATCAGTTCGGATGCTGACGAGATGCCACTAATTCAGTGAGCTGGCTATACGTCACTGTGGACGGTGCTTGCCCGTTCTGCTGGTCAACGTGAATGAAGCATGGTTTCCTTAGCCATGAGGTGGATGCCCCCGGTACCCGAAAAGTGCTACAGAAAAATCTTAGCGCTTGCGAGGTAATGCCAGACAGAAGTTAACAATGGAAGATAAGTTCTGCTTAGAGGGTATGGGCAGCCCCCAACAATGCACGAGATTTGCAGTACTGCTAGTGGTCAGGTGAGCAGCCCATCGACTCCCTTGCGAAGGCAGTCATCGCCAGATATGCCAAGCACATCCATGGCACAATGGGACAAATCCCGCACAAGAGCTGTTGACAAAATGTCTGAAATTGTAGAGTTGGGTGTTCCTCGCAAATTGCAACGGAGAAAGGGGTCGATTCAAGTGCAGAAGCTAAAGGTTGGTCGTTTCTTTCCCGCAGGAGGCACTGCGAGTGCTAAGTGAAGAATGCCAGGAATCAATGCAAAGTAGATCACTGGTTGGGCTTTGAGAACCCTGGATGCAGCTTGGGGCACTGTCTCTCGTTTGAGAGGCTATGCCTGTACGCCATGACAGGAGCAGTGGAAAAACTGATCAAGGCCAAATCCCCAGGCCAAGATTCTGTACAGTTACCACTTTGATGTGGCCCAGCATGCCCCAGCACTTTGGTGTCTCCAACTGAAGAATGAAGAGAGAACTGCATTGATCATCATTGATCCAGAGAAAGAAGTGCTGTGAGTCACACTGGCCAAATACGAAAAGGACCACGATGCGGCCTACAACAGCTCAGTCATCGCTGGTTCCAGCCTCCTTTACCGGCTTAAGCCTGGCGGAACTTCATCAAAGTTGAGATGTCAATGGTACTAAGGCCCATGCTAATGATGGCTTTATCACCTCAGCGACGCGCTTCGCACTCCTTACTCAAAGGACTGCCATGGGCGCTCCAATAATCCCTAGTAAGGCCTTCGTTTGTGGCGCCTGTGTATTGGATGCCCAAGTGATTTCCGTCTTCTTTTCCATTATCCCAATGCTTAAATAATGGTCTACATGTTCGTTCCCATTATCCCCATATCTAAACAACAGTTTCCATTTTCTTTCAGCAAGCACTTAGGTCTCTGAAGCGCTCCCTCGCCTCCACGCTCAAGCGAAGCGCGGGAAAATTCCATTATCTTTTCCATTGGCCATAGTAGCCCCATCCCTGAAACCCTCAACCCTGGACCCTAAGCCATAAAACCCTAAACCCTAAAATCTGAAACTTGAACCCAAAAACCCTCAACCCTAGACCCTAAAACACCGAGCCCCAAACCCTAAAGCCCTCAACCTTCTCTACCTTTACCTATATATGGTTGGGCCCGGCCCCCGCCCCAAGCCTCCGGTGGTCCTGTGGGGCTAGCACTTGTGGTTCTCTTGCGTTCTGTTCGGTGACAATCAAAATGTGATGTTGGCTTTCTGGCTGATGAGTTGCCCCTCCTGTGGGCTTGGCTTTAGAACCCTAATATCACCCGAATATAAGACTAATACAACCCCAAGATAACCCTAATATCATTGCAGGTGGTCAATCGATCAATGGCTGCAAGCATGAATGGGTATCTTTTTTTGTCCCGTTCCCCCGCCTGTGGTCCTGTAGAGTATTGGCACCTGTGGTGCTTTGGAGATGAATTTGGTGACAATTCAGTACTGTTTGGGCTTGTTGCTTGATGACGTTCCCCCTCCTCTGGGTTTGGTTTGCAGGTTGTCAACCGATCAATGGCTGCAAGCATGACTGCATCTTGTTTCTGGGAGCACTTGTTCTTCTGAAGCAAGCCTTCTGCCGCTAGGTTGTGAGACAGATGACAGTTACCAGGGTTGTGACCTGGATCCCCACTATCCCTGTGACTGTTGGCCCTTTAAAGACCAGCGACGTCAAAAACGGTGACAGTTACAAGAATGGCGTTTTCAAGGCCTCAAAAAACGAGGACAGTTGCGAGGGTTGTGACCTGGATACCCGCCATCCCTGTGACTGTTGGCACTTTTGAAATCTTTGACATCAAAAAGTGGCGACAGTTACCAGGAGCGCGAGCTGGACCACCATCCCTGACTGTTCACGCTTTTGAAGCAGGGGGGCAAAATGCTGTATAGTTCAACCGCCTTTCATGGGGCTGTGTTTTGATTTTGCAGCTTTGGTGTTTTGGATTTGGGATTTGGGATTTTGGGTTTTGGGTTTGCTGGCCGGCCAACTACTGGCCTCTAAACCTTCCCAGCTTCTGGACCTGGAGGTTTGAGCCTTCTGGAGGGTGCTGTAGCCTGGGGACTGGCCCATGAAAGGCCTTGGCAGGCCCGGTTTTGGATTTTGGGTTTTGGTCTTCGGGTTTGGGATTCTGGGTTTTGTGCTTTGAGTTTTGTGTTTGGGGCTTTGGATTTGGAGTTTGGGGCTTTGGACTTCGAATTTTGGGTGTGGGGTTCCAGCCCTCTGGAGGTTGTGAGGCCTCTAGAGGCAGGTAGGCGCTTGGGGCCCCTGGAGACGCTGGAGGACCTAGCTGCGACCTTGGAACCTCTGTGACTTTTATGAGGCCCCTGAAGGGTTTGGAGGCACATGAGCTGTAGTCTACAGTCCTAGTATTCCCCTTAATAACCCCTATAATAATTCCCTGTACAATCCTCCATATAACCACCTTTGAGGAGTTACGACTATAGCTCAAATGAGGGCCTTTGGGGGCTGATGGCGGCCCCTTTGCTTGGAGGCCTGGAGCCCTGGAGGCCCCTACAGGAAGGATGGAAACTATAGGAATTATAGGGGTTATATAAGGGTTATATAGGGAGAATGGAAAAGAAAATGGAAACTACTATATTATAATAGGGTATATATGGGGGATATATTGAAGGTTTTGGAAGCCCTTGAAGGCCATCTGGTGGCTTCAGGAGTATTTAGGTTAGGGCCTAGGATTTGGGGTTTCTGAGCTGGCTTAGAGTTTTGTGTACGGAAGAAGGAGGTAAGTTGAAACGAAGAGGGATTCTGGGAGGCTCCAAGTAGGGCTTGATAAGCTTTGGGGACAGAGGTTGTTGAGTAAATGGGAAAGTGGAGGTGGATGTGCACGGGGCTGGAACTTACGACAAAGTTGCGCAGCCATGTAAGAGGATGGGGGAAGGTTCGTCCTGAAGACCATCAGGATCCTTGATTGAACCCCCAAGAACGCACTGAAATGCTAGGACCCTGAACTAGAACCACCAAACTCCTAGACCCGGATCCCAAGAACCAGAAGCCATTGTCTTGTCCTATGATTCTAGGCGGGTCCAGAATCCATGGAAATGAAAGCGGCCTTGCAATCCGCCGGCTCTAGCCAAGCATATATCCTGAACCCTAAGCCCTAAACACTTGAAACCTGAACCCTCAATCTTAAGCCCGAAACCCTAAACCCTGAACCCTCAATCCTAAGCCCTGAACCCTCAATCCTAAGCCCTGAACCCTCAATCCTAAGCCCTAAACCCTTGCAAGGTGATGTGAGCCTGGCGAGCCGGGCCTTGGCGGAGGCAAAAGCCGCAGCCACCTGCAAGTAGGAGGGAAACTATAGGAATTATAGGGGTTATATAGGGGTTATATAGGGATAATGGAAAAGAAAATGGAAACTACTATATTATAATAAGGTAAATAGAATACTACAAAATCAGGGATACATGAGCCATTGTCTAAACTCCTACAGTATCCCCCTTAATAATGGAGAATCAAATGGAAAAGAACATGGAAAATGAAATGGAAATTGGGCTTATATAGGTACTACAAAATCAGGGATATGCAAGGATATGTATATACACACATGGATATATGGGGATACACAGGGATATTTTGGGCTGTGTACACGTTGGTATATATATATATATGCACCTAAATGCATATGTGATATAGCACTTGAAGGCTCTTTAGGACCCTGATTGTCATAAACAGTTCCCTCTTTCAACGCTCAGGCTGTCCGCTCAGAATCTGTCTTGTCAGGATGCCTCTTTGGAGGCAACCACGGTGCTGCTGTACGATTCGTTGTCCGACAGGGATTCTGGAGGCTCCTCTGCCTCTGAGGCAGTGCAAACATATTCGATGACTCCGCTCAGCTTCTGTCAGTTCAACCATCTGAAACACCTACGCACAGGCGGCGCCAGCCTCGTTGTTTGGGTCTGGGTTGCTAGGCCTGCCCCGAAGAATCATGCCACAGACTTGAGTTAGCAGAGTTAGGTTCATGAGCGCGGCGCAGAAGGGACATTAGAGCGCTTTGCCTGGTGCCACGCTCATACCTCTGGCCAGAACCTGGCAGCATTTCCAAGCATGAGAGCCCATTGTATTTACATTTTGGCAAATGGTTCGGGGGTCGTTACCCTAAACCCTCAATCCCTAGAACCCCAAACCTTTACAAAGGTCACTGGAAGCATCAACAATAACAACATCCAGGAAGGCATAGGTCCACGTAAGCAGCCAACCTATGCTTGAGGATGACGGCTCTTTCCTTCGTGGGCACATGTACTATAGTATGTTGTAGCATATTATAGTATGTATATTATACACTTGTGTATACGTATAATGTATATATATATATGTATTATAGGGGTACTTGCGCAGCAGGGGAGACTCGCCAGGTTCCCCACTCTGTCAGGTTGAGGCGTTGAGAATCTGCAAGGAAATGCTCAGAAGGGTGCAATCACCACCCTTGCTGGGTCGCAAAACCCAAGACTCTTTTTCTTCTATTCTCCAAGACATTGCCATAGCTAACACATGCTCTCCCCATGTCCATGGTGCAGCGCGTGCCTTCGTCATCGCCACTCCGCGGAGACACAGGCGAAGCTCCTGCCAGCAACAGCGGTCGAGTGGCACGGCAGCCATGCCACACCCGGCAAAATCTCTGCTGCAGGATGGCATCTTCGGCCCTGTTTGCGAAACGAATGGCCGAACGACAATGCAAGAGCGTCAAAAGCCAACATTCTCATTCATAAGGCGCCTTTGGCAGCTCGCAGCGCTGCAAGCGCCGTCTCTGATTTTGAAGATCGGGGGCCTTGCAAGGCGATGTCTCCTTGCATGTATTTAGAGGAATATTCTGCACGCGGACTGAAAGCCTTGCCTGAGTTTCGGCGCCAGGTCTCCAGTGCAGAGGAGTGATGCCCCACGGGCGGTGGTGGTGGTGCTTGTCCTGTCCGTGATGCAGCAGCCTCTGGAGGCAAAACCGTCATGAAAGTGGCCTCCGTGAACAGATTCTCCAGCCTTTGCGTCCTTAGCCGTACAGATGAATTGCTCTTGAACAGCATGGATGCCTTTTCGTGACTTACTGACAGCTGGGCAAGCTGCTCCCCTTGCTGACCTTGCAGGCAATCATGAACCATCAATGTCGCAGGTGCTTCTTGCAGCTTCTTGCATTTGCTGCTCGCGGTTCAGCCCTTGATGGGCAGGTTGCTCAGATAGGCACCGCTGCTCGAGCTGCTCCCGCCTGACCTTTGAAGCGCGAAGCTATGCGCAGCGACCAGCGGTGGGAAGGCAAAAGCTATACATTACTTCTGAAGCACGGAGACACAGACCAAGCAGCCGGCAGCTGATGGCAGGATTGTTTTGGGAGGTTCGCGTCCCATCTCGAGACCTTTCTCTCGTCGACATGTTTGGCGATCAGCTTGAAGATGGTTGAGAAAGTTGACAAGGTTTCCCAAAATTAGGGGTACCTTTTGGGGGTCTCCATTTCACAAGGACTATATTATAGTCCTTGTTATGGAGACCCCCAATATAAACCCCCAAGTACTATAGTCACTATAGTAACTATAGTACTTGGGGGTTTATATTAGGGTCAAAGTTCAATCCCAGCTCTGAGATTTGGGCGTGGGCTTGAAAAGTGGAGGTAAGCTCTCCTCCCAGACGTGCAGATTGTATATTGGGATAATGGAGAAGAAAATGGAAACTGTAGGGATTATAGGGATCATATAGGGTTATATATTGGGATTATAGGGAGTATATTGGGGCTATATTGGGATAATGGGGAAGAAAATGGA